TAAGAGCCTCTAGGTTTGTCCATGTAAAACTTCTACTTTGAGAACACCAGTGGCTACCAGTTTCTTTCCAAATGCAATTCACACTTCTTGTTGTCACCCTTAAAGCCCAGCATGGTTAGGACCTGTGTATCTATGGGATTGCCTTCTGCCCAATAAGATCAGGAAGAATGGTCTCTTTGTGTGTCCCTTCTCTTAAGGAATGTTGTGTTCAGGGACTACTGTATAGGGACAAGCTTTCTCAGTCACTGCCTTCTCCTCTGGAACAGTATTCCTTCTGAGATTAAATTACCCTCCACCCTATTAGTTTTTCAGAAAGCCTTTAAAACCTGGTTACTGTATTCCAGAGACCCTTGTGAACAGATTTGTTATGAGAGGAACATCCTGTTGTGGATTTTTCTATGTTGTTGTTCTTTGGATGTTGGAGTTCCTGTTTGCTTTCTTGTTGTATTGATTACAGTACTAGATAATTTTTTTAATGAATGTAAGCTGCTTGGACATATGACATATAAGTTCCAATAAATAAATAAATATAATTGATCTCCAAACCTTGAATGGCTATTACTAACTAACAATAGAATGTGTTACAGTGGTAAAGATACTAGAATTAAAACAACATAGGTGTAATGGGCTGTGAGAATAATTTTGCAGCCTAGACAATGGTCTGATAAACGAAATCTTAGTCCAAAGCAGGAATGGGGGTGGAGAAGGTATCTCAAAATTGACCCTCTGTAGTTCTCTGTAACGTAAAGGCAAGTGGGGGAGCACTTTCAGACTTGCAAGATTCTGTTACTGTAATCTTACAATAAAAGTAGTATTAGTATTCTTGGTTTTGGTTTCCTGATCTGGACTACCTTGAAGGGCTGTTAGTCCCAAGGTATTCTGGACTACCTTGAAGGGTTCCAGTTATGCTTACATGCTATTTTGGTCACATTATTAAGGGACCTAGTAATGACGGCAGCAACATCTGTTTGTATGTCTGCAATATTTCTATTTCCTTGTGTTGCTTCCATCTTATATTATAACAACAGATTTCTCTGGCTGCTCCTGGAAATCCATCCAGTCTTTTGCAACATAATAAATTAAGTCAATATTCTTTGTTAAAAAGTATTTTTCTAATCATCTAGTATTCTTGGAGAATGAGTGTACTGTATCAAATTTTAGCTTACTAGGGTATGAATAATTTTTAATAAAATTTAGCTGTGTAGATTATTTCTTAACCATTCTTAGATACACTATGTTATTCCAAGGCTAAAATGTACAGTCCCCCAAGTCTTGTACTCAGTATCTGTCATGTCAGAGACATAGGAAAGTTAGCAGTTCAATAACTTGATGATCAGTTACTACCAACTGTCTTTTTAACTATATGTTACTCTCATTCTCAATTTATTTATTTATATTTATATTTCAAATTTAGATACCACCCTTCTCATGAAAAAGTGACTCTGGGTGGTTCACAATAAAACAACAATAAATATTAATTAAAAT